CGCGGGCTTTTTCGGCGCGAGCGCAAGCGGGCCGGAGCCGGAGAGGCGCAGGAGAGCCTCCCGGGGTACCCCTGCGCCGCCCTCACCGCCCCCCACGCTGCTGGACGAGGTGGAGCCGCTGGACCTGGAGAGCCTGGCAGCCTGGCGGACCGAGGACGACTACACCTGGTATTGCCGAGCTCCGCGCCCTGCCCCAGGACCCTGGCCTCCGAGGCCCGGAAAGGCGGGGAGGGCGTGGGCTGCAAGAGGGGGGCGGGCGGGCTCGCCAGGGCCCCCGGACGTGGTGGCCTGGCAGGTGCCAAGTTGGGCGCTGAAAGGAGGCTTAACTTGCGGGCGGAAACCTGCTTCCTTCCACGAGCTCCCGCCATGCAGAAGGGGATGAACTGGTCCCTCCATCTCCTTGCATTCTGCTCTCTGCTGATTTTTGGGTCCCAAGCTCCTCGTTCGCGTTCACTGAAAAACCCATGCTATTTTGTCCTTTTGTTACTCGGGCTTGCTCCTTTTCCCAGTCTTTTTTCGGTAGTGACGGGGATGGGGAGGGGTTGGCCTCAGCCTGTGACTGTTTCTGTTCTTTCTTCCCACACGAAGGCTGGAGGGGGTTCGCGGGTGGTCCCTCCTCCCGTGGCGTACCAGGCTGCTTAGCGATGGAGCTCCTCTCCTCAGAGTGCTCCTGCGCTCAGCTGTGCAGCCCTACGTCCATTCCCTGCGTTTTCATTGGTAGCTCCTCATTTCAGAGACTGACTTTGTTTTTTTAAAAGGTGGCTTTCCTATCCTATCAATCATGTTATAAAAAATGGGGCTTTTTAGGGAATGGAGTGGGCAGTTTGAAGACACTTTATTGCCTAGCAACAAAGGGACTTTCTTTAATTTTTAAAATTAAACTGTTGAAGAAAAGTGAGATTAGAGGAACTTATTTTTTTATTTTTCAGAAACTTTCAGTTATCAAAAAATGTGAGGCTGGCAGAATTTATTTTTCAGTTGAAATCTGATTAGCTCTTTCTGCTTTCCATCAGTGAGCCACTTCGGAGGGGTTCTAATTCTTGTATTGTTTATTTTCATGCAACTTGCTCACGGAGTAATACTAATATGCTTTCTTCAGTCACTAGAGGTGGTGGGGTACGGTCAGGTGAGTAGAAGCTTCCGATAGGGTGGGACTTAGGTTCATGCCAGGGAACATGAACAGCGCTCTCCTCCACACAGCAGTGGCCTGAAGAAGAGCTGCAATCCCTCTTTTATCTTGGTTTTTTAAATCTAAGACCCTTCCTACTTTTGCAAGCCGGGCTTTCCTGGCTTTCTTTGTTTTCCTATTGCATGATTGTGCAGGAGGGACTTGGAAATGGAGAACCTTACTGGTTTCCTTTTGGGGACCGTGTTGTTCCTTTTCCCTTATTCTGACGTGAGAACCCTGTAAAGTGCGTTCACTAATTGGTTTGCCTCCGAGAACCAAAATGCATGGAGCATATTCATATGTAAGGCATTCATCCTCCTTGTCAATACTTTACTCTTTGGTGGTAGCTCCAAGCTGTAAAAATCAAGACAACTTGCTACTTTCTGGAACTTTATGCCATTCTTTTTAGAAGCTGCACCTTTATTTTTGTGGAACCCAAGTGTATTGTAAGCTCAGTTTCAGCCTGAATATGGTACTGGAAAATGCTCTGTTGGTGGTTCTTAGGTTATCACTAACTATAAGACCTTATGCCACTCTCATATTATTTTGGGTTGATTTAGTCCCCATTTGACCTTTTCTGAAGATATGTACCTAAGTCATGGAAGGGAACTTGTTTGTATTTTTTGATGGAGATTAATTATGTGCCTTAAAATATTAGCATTTAAAAATTATTATGCTATTACTATTTTATAAGTATATTAGATTGGTGATAGTATGTACATAACTAATATGCTTTTAATATTTTCTCTTTTGAATGGATTTCTACCATAATTAGTTATCATCCAACTGTTGCTAATACTTGATATCTAGACTTTCCTTTTGTAGTTTATTTTTAATCAAAATAGCATTGAAATAACTTAAAAAAAATCACCTACTTAGTTGGATTAGCCTAGCAGCACTTTAGATGGTTTGAAGCAAATTTAAATTGTAGCAGGTTCTACCAATGTACTCAAGTATATAGGTGAATAGGTAAATCTTGCCTTGACACTACAAATGTTTTTACAGACATAGTATTTATAGAGTACTCTATCTTCTTCAAAACAAACCTAGGAATAGAATCCCAGGTGGAAAAACAGGGAGGGATCATTAATCTTAGTGGGATGGATGTAAACATTTAAGGTCACCTGATTTACAGGAAACTTTCTATCATAGCATTTATGCATTGAGATATTTTTGTATTGCAATATTTGGGCCTTTTGATGAATAAATAATCGCCAGGGTTTAACCCATTTGTTAATGCTTGCAAAGCTCTCTAAAGTTCTGTCATCACTGCAAACTGTATGTCCCTGTTTTGTGGTCTCGACTTAGGTCTTTTTTCCAAACGATTATTTAACCTATATGTATTTTCTATCTATAACAAAACAACACAAAATTTTAATGTAAGAAGAATGATGTGTTTTGCTTTTCATTTTGATGAAAAGATTTGAAACAAAACAGTTGTCTTATTTCTTCAAATATTTATCTCAGTTGAATTTAAATATTTAATTTTGCCATAATATCACCTAGTTATCTTAGCACAGTGCTGCTAGAATGAAGTGTCTCAGAAAATTAAAGTTGACTGTAGTTCCAGAACCTTAATTCTTAAGTCCAGTTATTATAGTCCCATACCATAGTGTCAGCTCCCTTATTTCACTGTTAAGGAACTGAAGTTCTTAAATGAAATGATTTATGTAAGCTCCTCCAGTTATGTACTGAAAGACCACAATCCAGATTGTTTTCACAAATTCAGAAGTGTTTAAACCATTGGGAATTTCCCTCAGCTTTGATGTGACCCATTAGTGGGCTATAAAGTCAGTTTAGTGGATTGTCAGCATTTTTTTAAATGAAGTGCAGTAGAATATAAAAGCGGAGTGCATTATATCTTACAATACAAACTTATCTTGGGTAAACTTATTTTAGTTTTACATGTGTGCGACCTGGGTTGAAATAGTAAATGTATTTGTGCATTATGGTCAGAGTTAGAAAAATTCCCCATTTCTATTGTTTGAAACCAAAATGAACTTGGAGAAAACAGGTGGGAAAGCAGAGCTCTCTCAAGATAGTGTAGCACTGGGGAAAGTCAGTTCTTGCACACCTCAACCAGGAAGGTAAGTCTATATTCAGAAAATGCCAAAATAAAAACATGCCGGCTAATACATGCTATGTAGTCATAAAACGGGGCCGTTATTTTAGTGGAGTGGTAATCAGCAAAATATTGAGACTTGTGTAAAGGGATTTTAACCTTGTCTAACTGGAAAGGACAGGAGGAAAGTTCATAATTCTAGAAGGAAAAAATGTTATGTATACAAAGTGAAGAAAATTTAATGAATGAATATTCATCTTCCATGTTTAACACCAAGACCTCAGACAGCTGGCTAAAATCCTTGCCAATTTTTCATCAAAGCTGTTGAACACCTTGTACTATACATATGGCACGGCTAAATTAGACCACCTAAACTGTTTTTTTTTTCCATAATTGATTTTCAGTGAAAAGACCAGAGGGTGCTTCACTTTCTGACAATGCTAATTGAAAACAGCAGTGTTTTCTAGGAGCCAAAAGGAGTTGACTGAAATATGTGCTGATGTGTCTTTGAAATGAGTAACTTCGAAATACTTCAGGGAGACACTGAAATAGAAGTTTAGACTTAACTGTGGATGGAGAGGAGAGAGTCTGCTATAGGACAGTTCAGTAACTAAAATTTAGATGTCATATATCCTTTTATAGCTTAGTGTGGTAGTACCTTTCTTTTGCAATGGCTGATCAGTTTGACCCTATCCAGGTGCTTGTTAATTGAACACTGTTTAATTTGACTAGGGATTGCTTTCCTTAAAACTTGTGATTGAAGTCTCTTAAAATTACTTTGAAAATTGCTACACATTACTTTTGAGAGACAGGTGTGTGTGTGTGTGTGTGTGTGTGTGTGTGTGTGTGTGTGTGATATAATATAGATATAGGTATATCTATATCAATCTATAGATTGATAGATATAGGTAGATAGTTAAATAGATATTGCTTTTGTATTATCCGGAGAAGGATGACTTTAGAACCAAAACATTTACTTCAGAATAATAAAGATTTTTTTCTGGGCAGTAGTAGTATTTTATTTGAAGCATTATGATGGGCTTTGTGTTACTTCTGATCTCCCAGTGTTAGCACATGAATTAAGTCTAGGGTCATATATGGAAAAGAAGATAGTTTATGAGAAGGATCAATTTCTAGCCATGTGCTTTTGGAAGTTATTGAAGTGAAGTTAGAGAAAACCAGAGTGGGACATTTCAAATATTCTTGTCAGACTCAATTATACCATCAATTAAACAATAGAAGTTGAAAGAGTAATTTCAACTAGGAGGTATGTTGTATTAATGATGGCAAAATAGGATATTGAAAATGTTGCTGGAATTGTAATGACAATGAATAAGGCAATTTTTAAAATGACTTTTTAGAAGATTAGACCAGTGAGGAGAAATTCAGGTTTTTCTTTATTTATCCAATTATAGAGACATATTGTACTCAAGTTTATAGCTACAGCATCTCTCTGTCTTTTTTCTTCTTTATTTGAATTCAGCTGTAGTTCTTAGCTATAGAAAGAGTAGGCGTGAGGCTATCTGGGCTACATTGTTTGGAGACTAACTCTGAAAATAACCACTTGTCTTAATACCATATATTTACATAGTACTTCAAAAGTTTTATCAAAGTAATACAATAAATAGGATGTATGCAGTTCAGAACTCACCTATAGCAAGGCTCATTACAGAAAGCAGCAGTCCTCTACTCGTTCCTGCCTTCGAGTCCTTCACACGGGCATCACTTTATACTCTTCTACCTGTTTCTTTTGTTCTTTACTTCTCAAGTCTTTATACAATATGAACTTAGACATCTGTAGACTTGTTTTGGAAGGAGCTCTCTTCCCCTCACCCCCAAACCACCATATCTCCTTTCCCTTCTCATGTTTTTTATAATTTTTGTATTAAATCATTATAATGCCTGTATTATGATTATAACTGTTATTAGCTGAACCCT